TGTCTCTTCCCAGGATGTTTAACACTGCAGAACTTGGGGCTGACAAGGAAAGACTGCAGATATTACACCTGGAGCTTCTCTGAAGCTCACTCAAAGCTAACGCCTGGGAGAGCCCACCCCCCCTTAGTACGCCACTGCCCCTAACCCTACCCTTAACCCTATCCCTAGCTCCAACCCTATCCTCAACCCAACCATAACCCTGTCGAAGAGCTTTCTCTGTAGAAAGATAGCCGAAATGGTAATTCCCTTTGAAATGAGTTTGAGAGGTAATTGAGCTCAAATTAGGATAACTCAATTATCTGTCAAATACAGAAACCGACATGCATATATTACAATAGCCCCCAAAATACACGAAAAGAATACAGGAACCCCACAAAAATCATATACCAAAATAGCCCTGAGCGCACAACATATCCAAATGGTGCTTAGATTGGTTCGGTAGAACGAACGTTCTGTTTGCATAAAGTTTTGACCGACCGGCCACGAGGTGATAGCCCAAAACAGTTTACGAGATTGGGCAGGATGGGCAGTCAGATTTCAGGGGGTTCCTGTGCGAACACCGACGAAAGCTCCCCCTGGCTGCTATGGAGCGAATGCTCCCCCGTTCGGTAGATCCTATCTCCCAAACTCTGTTCATGTAGTTGGTCTGGAAATGGGATAGGAAGCGGTAGCATCTTGTGTTCGTGGAGACAAAAAATCTGGATTTCTCAAGAAGTTTTCCTTAAGAGGATTTATTATTAAACTATGATGGGTTTGTCCACCATTGCCCTTATTAGGTACCAGATGGTAAATTCAAAAGTGAATTTAATTGTGGATTAAAGATAAAATTAGTTCTTATAAGGTTGCCAGGTAAGAGAATTTTTACATCAAAGTTGTTTAATGAGGTTTCTGTCCAATCCATGTGGAAGGAAATTTTCTTGTGGAGCAGTGATAGTGGAAGGGTAAAAGGAACTGATCCAGTGGTGTAATATCATTTTAGGTGCCACAGCCAAGATCATGCGGGCCAGTTTAGAACCATGACTTAACTGTTCCATCGTTACCCCCAATGTTGCTAGTAATGGAGAAATACAAAATTATCTAACCAATAGTTGAGTTATATCATTTTTGACTTGTCTCCAGAATATCTCAATCCTTACACATCCCCAGAAACAGTGCTAAAGGTCTACTTTATTAGACCCGTATTTTAAACAGCTTGCCTAGTCCCTCAATTTTAGACATAGTTGTTTTTGAGGAGAATAGTAAGCATGATGTGCGATTTCTGTATCAGTGACTGTTAGTGTATATGAAATTGTCATGTTATTCCAAGATTTTCATATGGTGATCCCAGCTAAACGTTATTGCTTTAAACTGATGGAATTACACATACAGGTGACATTACATATTAAAGGTTAGTTTCATATAAGCCATATGGCTAGCCCACTATACAGTGCAATTATAATTATTTGTTACAGTGGCAGCTATGGGTCTGTTTAGCCTTACCTTGTTGTTTTATATCTGTCTCTGTAGCTAATGAGAGATTATAAGGGTTTAGTCACCAATCCCTGAATTGAGTAATTGAGGGAATTGAAATAAAACAAAATTAAGGCTGACACAGCCAATCTATGATTAGAACGAAATTGTGGAATTTTTCAGGACCAGATGCTTTAGCCCTATTGTTGGTTTCCATACTCTACAATGTTAATAACCAGACCTGACCAACACAGAAAAGTGATAGACTCACAGGAGGCAATTGAACAAACTTTCTACATCCAATGGTACAGGACTAGGAGAACCGTTCTGGAGTTGGACAATTGCATTAGTCCTTAAGAGGTTAAATATAAAGGCAATGTACATTTTCTTGTAAGTCATCGTGTGAAATTGATGATAATGCCTCTCTGTGGTCAAAGGCCCAAGGAAACATGGGTAACAAGTATTTGACTGTCTGCAATCACAGGAGAATAATAGCACAATAGCACAGTATACAAGGGTGGTCATGACTCTTATCCAGCCTGCCATTCATTCTTATTGTATTGCTGATTCAATATCACAAAGAGTTTCCTTGCTTTGAATCATCCCTATAAATGTGGGTCATTGTCTAAAAATGGATACAATTTGTCCAATTTTGTCATTTGTTCAACTTTGACAAATGTAAAGAGTAACCGCTACGTAGGAAAGGTCTTCATTGTTCATACCTTCAGGCCACCCATTATAAAGCAATATGGCCATGAATATTTAACTGTCCTTGGCTGGAAACAGAATATGTACCCACTGGGGAAATTGTACGTTATTAATGAATATCTAAAAATACTGCAAATAAATATGCGTACTTTCTTGGAACTATCATATTTTTCTAGATGAAAATGTCACGATGATTGTTAGAGTAACATAAAAAAGGATTCCCAAGCTTGTTGTACAAAAAGACTCTTTGAGAAGAGACACTGTGTATACACACTCAGACACCAAGTTTTTACGTACTCTTACAGTCCTGGGTGTGACCTGGCATTTGCCTATCTATCCAACCTATCTATCCTCACTAATACACAAGTATGTCCTGTCTCGGCCCCTACGCTCTGCCGAAGATCTACGTCTATCCTCTGTTCGTACTCCCACCTCCGATGCTCGCTTTCAAGACTTCTCTAGGGCTGCATCATTCCTGTGGAATTCCCTTCTACATTAGACGTTCACCAGTCTCAACTCCATCAAAAAAAAAACACTGAAAACACTATTTCAGGAAAGTGTATCAATTAAACTGTTAATAGCTCCCACCCCCCCTCCCCCCCCGCACCCTAATTACTTTCCTGCACCTGTCATAAAAAAACAAAAAACAAGACACAAAATCTTCTGTGAATACTATTCTACCATCCTATTTCTCTACTCCTACCCTTACCTTTTGTGTCACTATACCACACTCCTTCTAGCATGTAAATGTATTGATAGGGGCCCTCAACCCCTCTGTTCTATTGCGTGGAAGACACTATCATGTACATGGAGCCAGATTCAGTGGACAAGTGCTTTTAAACATTTTAAATTATCTTGTCAGAATCATCAAGTTGAACATAAGTAGTCTGTGGCCATAAAGTATGGGCATTTCTGGGGTGGGCTCTCCCAGGCGTTAGCTTTGAGTGAGCTTCAGAGAAGCTCCAGGTGTAATATCTGCAGTCTTTCCTTGTCAGCCCCAAGTTCTGCAGTGTTAAACATCCTGGGAAGAGACAGCATGTGTTTTAAATGAATCACTGAGATTCTACCACTTGTACTGCCCAAGAAATCCACTGATTAAACTGATAAGCTGCTGGTTAATTCATTGGGAGTGCCCATTAGTTGTCCCACGCACTTAGGGCCACCTGATGGATATGTTTGATCAGGGGCCCCTGTTGCGTGTCGAGTCACTTTAACAGCAAGACTGTGCACTTGTCAGACCAGCAATTTGGACATAGTTCTGATAGGAAATGAGCAAAGGTCAGTTTTCATATACTGCAATATTTACCTTGCAGGGTTAAGTCCTCCACTAGAGGACACTTCCGTGTTCATAGAACACGAAAAGTGTGTTATAACGTCGCTGTACGTCCTCACGCTATGTGAGGACCTCCAGCGTCGCCGAAATCCCCATAGGAAAGCAGTGAAAGCATATTCAGTGCTTTCCTATGGGGAGGTCTAATGCGAGGAGCATGGGCAGACCCTGACCCAGCACAGAGGATACAGGTAAATCACTGAAGCGGTTTTAACCCCTTGAGCAACATGGGATGGGGGGTGGGAAGGAGAGGGGACCTGCAGTGCCAGGAAAAAGGTTTGTTTTCCTGGCACTGGAGAGTCCCTTTAAGTATAATAGTATATATTATCTCATAAAATATATTGAAAACATGAAAATAGAACTCTGGAAAGAAAACTAAATGTCCCAATAATTTACTAATGGTAACTCGTACTGGATACATATTACCTCTAAATGCTATTTTCTCCCTTTCCTGCTTCAGGCCATGAACATCCTCATTTTGTTAAAGGAGCTCTAAAGAAACAGAATAACCACAGCACAGTGACCAGAGACCACCACCTCCTGGGGAATTTACACTTTTACAAAGTTATTCACTTTAGAATTCAAAGTGATTTCAAATTTAAGGCCAGAGCAGGCCTGGCTTAGAGAATTTTCCCACTAGCTGTTTTGACCTTAAATTTGAAATTCACCTTGAATTTTCCTTTTTAGTCAGTCTTGTTAGTGGCAGAGACACCCTCAGTTATTGTCAAATTGCTCCCAGTTTAAAAACAAAAGTGGGACAGCTCCCGTAGGCCAATTGGAGGATATAACTACTACACTGTTCTGCAGTTATGTGGCTTCTATTGTACCCTGCAGCTACATACTAGACGAGGGAGGATGGCACTTTCTGTGTGTTAGCGCTCTTCGTCAATGCGAGGAACTGAAAACGTGATGGTCTGACAATCCTCTGTCTCTCCTTACTGAAATGTTTACTTATCAGTCCCCATCTGTATTCACTGACGTTTAATTTATTTATTTTGCATGCGCGACACTCTGATTCATTACTGTGTTTTTCCTTCTTATCACTTGTGTACATTTTTATTCTAAGCAATAATCAAGTTATATGAGTCACAGTGTCCAAAAATAAAGACTGTTTTTCATTGAATTTTACGGGACGTCAATATTTATCCTGATGTCAGAGCACACTGGGCGATATGTACTAAAGTGGGTTAACTAACATCCCTCATTCACAAACAGCTTGCTTAGCCGTCAATGTGACTGTTTTTGGCATGTAGATGTTTGTGTGTGTGCACAGTTTATGAATAAAGCTAATTTGTTGTGCCTCATTGCTTTGTTGCTATGACACTAATTAGCGGTGGGAAGTGCTGGATAGAAGCTATGACTGCTGAACACGAGACATCGGCCTGTTTTTCCATATATTTAAATTGGCAATGAGTATTGTATTCATTGTGTCATATGGTAGAGGGGGCAAGGGTCACTGATAGTGGCCAGAAATCATTTGGTGCCCACTACCCTGCACACATATAGATATCCAATGAACGGGTTGTGCCTATTCCAACATTTGGATTTTCTAAAATCAACTCCTACTACACTGATAATCTATATGTTAGAACCGCGCACAGCTCTGACTGCAACTCCCATTACACTGATCATCACTGCTACTACAGCGCACAGCTCCCTGACTGCAACTCCCACTATACTGATCATCTATTCTATAGCTGTGCACAGCTCCCTGACTGCAACTCCCACTATACTGATCATCTATTCTATAACTGTGCACAGCTCTCTGACTGCAACTCCCACTATACTGATCATCTATTCTACAACTGGGCACAGCTCCCTGACTGCAATTCTCACTACACTGATCATCTCTGCTATTACTGCATACAGCTCCGTGACTGCAACTCCCACTACACTGATCATCTCTGCTACTACTGTGCACAACTCCCTGACTGCAACTCCCACTATACTGATCATCTATTCTATAAATGTGCACAGCACCGTGACTGCAACTCCCACTACACTGATCATCTCTGCTACTACTGTGCACAGCTCCCTGACTGCAACTCCCACTATACTGATCATCTATTCTATAACTGTGCACAGCACCGTGACTGCAACTCCGATTACACTGATCATCTCTGCTATTACTGCATACAGCTCTGTGACTGCAACTCCCACTACACTGATCATCTCTGCTACTACTGCGCACAGCTCCCTGACTGCAACTCTCACTATACTGATCATCTATTCTATAACTGTGCACAGCACCGTGACTGCAACTCCGATTACACTGATCATCTCTGCTATTACTGCATACAGCTCTGTGACTGCAACTCCCACTACACTGATCATCTCTGCTACTACTGCATACAGCTCCCTGACTGCAACTCCCACTATACTGATCATCTATTCTACAACTGGGCACAGCTCCCTGACTGCAATTCTAACTACACCGATCATCTCTGCTATTACTTCTTACAGTTTCGTGACTGCAACTCCCACTATACTGATCATCTCTGCTACTACTGCGCACAGCTCCCTGACTGCAACTCTCACTATACTGATCATCTATTCTATAACTGTGCACAGCACCGTGACTGTAACTCCCACTATACTGATCATCTATTCTATAACTGTTCACAGCACCGTGACTGCAACTCCGATTACACTGATCATCTATGCTAATGCTGCACACAGCTCCCTGACTGCGACTCCTACTACACCGATCAGCTATACTATTACTGCATGCAACTCCCTGACTGCAAATCCCACTACCCCAATCGCTATACTATTACTGCAAGCAGCTCCCTTACTGCAAACCCCACTACGCTATAATATCACTGAGTGCAGCTCTCTGACTGCTGATCCCTTTACCACTATACAGGATGCTGTCATGGTTTGCAAATCCCACCACTCCTATCAGCTATCCTATCAGTGAAAGCTGATCCCTGACTGTAAAGCCCCCCCACTAATTCCAAATAGTGTTACTAAATGCAACTCATTGACAGCATGTCCCAGTACTCCTTTTAGCTATGCAATCAGTGAATATTGACCGCTCATTGCAAATCCCATTTCTCCTGTCCACTATACCATTAACGCATGCATCTATTTCACTAAACCATGTTATCCCTAAAGAGTGATACAAATCCCACCACTCCTATCCGTAAAACTATCATCGACTGTATCTTTCAGTTATAGCCATCAGCCCACCTTTCTTATTGACTTACATTATCTCCTTCATATGTCAAGCTCCATGTTCTATCTCACCAGGTACTTTAGGGCTAGGGAACCTGAATGCTATTTTTCAGAGTACCCACCAGCAGTGTGGGGTGGGGTCCATGAGACTGCAGGGGTAGATACCTGGTTCATATGGATTTGAGCTGAGCTTGGTCATCAGAACATATAAAACCTGCTAAATGCTAATCAAGCTAAGTTGGCCAAAGTGAGAGCTGAATGAAAAACCTGGAATTTCACTTTCTGTCTTATTGAACCCTCTGATACAAACCATTGGAGAGCTGCTGACTTTCTTCTCTTATCCCATGTGAGATGAAGTGGAGTGAGGATTAACATGCAAAGCTGGGTTCCTGCAAGTGTCCCTGCACTGTCCCCATCCACTGGGCCACCGGATCCGACACGATTAGCTGAATAGGTCCACACAACCGCCTAATATCTAGAAGGTCCAGCCATCCTTATCCTCTGTGTATTGTAGTAGGCTGAGTGGAACTAGACATAGTGTGGGTTCCCATTGTAATCCCTGCTCCATTCTCTATCCACCGGACAGTGGGATATGGGGGAAAGAATATGTGAAAGCTTCACCAAGATCTGTAAATAGCCAGGTGGCTGCTGCTTGCATTCTCATCTCTGTTGATATGTACCAGTAGACATGTGCAATTCATTTTCGTTCCGAATGCAAATCCAGATGAATATGGGAAATTCAGACATTCGGATGCTTCTGAAAGTCCAAAGTGCCGAATTTCCTAAGTGCCGAATTTCGTAATGCCCAAGTGCCGAAGTTCCGAAGTGCTGAATTTCGGAATGCCGAACTGAATTGAATTGCCAAAGTGATGAATTTCCGAACTGATGAATTTCGGAAGTGTCAAAGTGCTTCGGATTTCTGAAAAGTGGCAAAAAAGGAGAGGGTTCGGGTTAGGGGTTGGGGTAGGGTTAGTGGTTGGGGTAGAGGTAGGGTTAGGTTTAGGGGTAGGGTTAAGGGTAGGGTTAGTGGTTGGAGTAGGGGTAGGGTAACACTAACCCTATTCCTAACCCTACTCCTAACCTAACCCTACCCCTAAACCTACCCCTAACCCTACTCCTAAACCAACCCTAACCCTACCCATAACCCTAACCCTATCCTAACCCTACCCCTAAACCTATCCCTAACACTACTCCTAAACCAATCCTAACCCTACCCTAACTCTACCCCTAACCTAACCCTACCCTTAACCCTACACTAACCCTACCCCTAACCCTACCCTAATCCTACACTTACCGGAAGCCCTGAAGTCCTGAAGTCCTGAAGTTCCGAAGGCCCTGAAGTCCTGAAGTTCCAAAGTCCCGAAGTTCGGAAGTATCGGAGTTCCGAAGTGTCGAAGTTCCGAAGTGTCGAAGTTTGGAATACTGAACAGAACTGCATATTTTTTCCATGCACATCCCTATTTACCAGAGTTATATTATTCACAGCAGCAAAATGTAGAAGTCAGAGAGGTACACACATATGAAGTTAAATAATTAAGAATCTTTATCAGTGGCTTCCTTAATCTGCAACAGTCAGATTTAATAAAAGAAGAAAATAACTTTGGTACATCTCCAAAATGGCTGCATAGCGAGAGAGTGAAAGAGGAAGTCCTGCAAGACAAGAAGACAACCTATTACCTGTCCAGAACCACAGAGACTACAGAGAGCAGACAACCAAATGTCACCCGCAACAGCAAGTTCTCCAACAAGTTCTGATTAGGCACTAGCGATTATTACTAACAATCTAACCCCGAGGGCGGAACTAAAGTAGAGAGGAGAGAAATACAAGTAGCAAGAGAGGTGAGAATGGACAACAGCTCAATTAGCCTGCCCTTTGGTGGATCCCCGCTCAGATTTTAAGCTGGTTTTAGCTCAACTTGTGCCATTACAGAGAGAACATATGTCAAGCGTATCAAACTGGTCCCACCTGTACGGGCAGTCCAGATCTGAAATGCCATCAAGTTCCCTCTGCGTGAGAGATAAGACAACCCCCAGATGATCGTTTTAACCTTTTAAGGTATCATCAGTGTGGTATAGCCAACATCCCTCTAGGCACCGTGAGCAAGGGGTCCACGTCTGGATTACCCTTTACACTTAAGGAGAGAAATACAAATAGCAAGTGATCTATCACCTGAACAGAATTCAGCAGCTCTAATACACCTAATAAGTGGTATCCCCTACACCACTATAAATACATAAAATACATACAAAACAAATAGGCGTTCCAACGCACGAGAACCCGGAAGTGACCTCCAAAAAATCGGGCAGCACATTTAAGGAAGCAAAGAAGATTAAACTCCCATAACCAACTGAGGAAGCCTATTTTACAGGCGAAACGCGTTTTGGACTTATATATTAATTGGACATTTTATTGGACATTGATTTACACATATTTTTTATTGTCATTTATACCAGCTGTGTTTGGTATATGATATATATATTTTTATTGGAATAAAAACCACTTTTTGAAAAAAGGACAAGTGGTGAATCTGATACTTTATTTAGGAAGACCTGCAAAAGAATTACAAGGGGTAATACCGAAGATCCGGGAACAAAAGGGTCTTTACAACCCCCAAATGGTCCACAGGAGGATACATTTAGAGTCATATGACGCTATGACTCTGATTTTGTGAGTGAAACTTTATTTCTTCTTATCAAACAGATTGAATAGACATACTACGCTATTTTGTGTATATTCAATTTTGTTTTACAGATCATCCAAGATTATATACGGCTGTCCCAGTCCACCGACTCTGATTTCAAAGCACTGAACGCCTCCCTCACACTTACTGTGCGGATCCTTCTGCAAATGACTATGAAGGCAGAGCACTTCCTGTCAGTCCAGCCGGATACAGAAAGTTCCTGTACCGCGGTCCGCGACTGCCGGGCAACGCTACACTGAGTGATTGGCAAGAAGGAGCGCTGTGCGCTTCTCTCCAGGCGGGTCACTCGAAACTTGTGCCACCTGGGCCGATGCACCCTAGGCAACTGCCTAAGTCGCCTATAGGACGCGCCGGCCCTGCATACATACAAGAATAATGTATCTTACTGACACAGACTGATTTCTAAACACATTTATTGTAGTTTAAAGACACATTACTTGGAGTATTATTACTGTGAAGCTCTGTTATACACTCACAAACCACCAATATGGAGCTCCTAGAGAAAAGGGACATTAGGATAGAAAAAATGGACAGAGGGATATGGGCACAAAATAGGGACGGTCTCTCCTGAGCACGGACACTTGGGATGTGTGCACATCCCAATCAGAGAAAGCAGTTTAGCTGGTAAGATTAATGTTTGCCTTGTACAGACACGTTATTACAGGTGGCTATTCACTATATATTTATTTACTAACACTTATATTTCTAAAGTCTATTCCTTTGACAATTCATCACAACTCTCAGGTTAATGACTATCCCCCTGTAACAATCTCATGTGCAAATAAATTATTCAAAGAAGATACAGGCTTAGTGCTGCTGGGGACAATCCCGTTTCACTAGTGACAGCAAGTTTATTCTAGAGCCTCAGCGATCATTACTACAAGTGTGAATTCCTACACCCACAACTCTCATCCACCCTGTGAAAATTAGGTTTACCTTGCCCATGCCCATAGATCCATTAGGGTCCTGAGAGAAGACGACCAATTATAGCGCCCATAGAAATGTTGCACATGGTGGTAATGGTGATAGAGTTTACCACTACCACTAGTAGATCACCCACCTGAAGATACACTATGCCAGTAGTAGATCACACACATACAGATACACTATACCACTAGTAGATCACCAACATGCAGCTACACTATACCACTAGTACATCACAAACCTGCAGATACACTATACCACTAGTACATCGCCCACCTACAGATTCACTATACCACTAGTACATCACCCACCTGCAGATACACAATACCACTAGTAGATCACCAACATGCAGCTACACTATACCACTAGTACATAACCAACCTGCAGATACACTATACCACTAGTAGATCACCCAACCTACAGATACGCTATACCACTAGTAGATCACCCACCTACAGATACACTATACCACTAGTAGATCACTCACCTGTAGATACAATATACCACTAGTAGATCACCCAACCTACAGATACACTATACCACTAGTAGATCACTCACCTGCAGATACACTATATAACTAGTACATCACCCACCTGAAGATACACTATGCCAGTAGTAGATCACACACATACAGATACACTATACCACTAGTAGATCACCAACATGCAGCTACACTATACCACTAGTACATCACAAACCTGCAGATACACTATACCACTAGTACATCGCCCACCTACAGATTCACTATACCACTAGTACATCACCCACCTGCAGATACACAATACCACTAGTAGATCACCAACATGCAGCTACACTATACCACTAGTACATAACCAACCTGCAGATACACTATACCACTAGTAGATCACCCACCTACAGATACATTATACCACTAGTAGATCACCCACCTACAGATACATTATACCACTAGTAGATCACCCACCTGCAGATACACTATACCACTAGTAGATCACCCACCTACAGATACACTATACCACTAGTAGATCACCAACCTACAGATACACTATACCACTGGTGGATCACCCAAAGTGCAGATACAATATATCACTTGTTTTTGTGAGCTTTACTGAAGGTATGTGATATACACATTGCACAG